AACATGGATGGAACTGGAGGCCATTATCTGAAGTGGAGTACTCAGAAACAAAACGTCCTGCCAGACGCAGTGGCTCATGGCTGTAATCCCAGCACTTTGAGAGGCCGAGGCTGGTGGATCACTTGAGGTCAGGAGTGCAAGACCAGCCTGGCCAACGTGGCGAAACCCCATCTCCACTAAAAATACAAAAATTAGCGGGACGTGATGACACATTATTCAGGAGGCTGAGGCAGGAGAATAACTTGAACCTGGGAGGTGGAGGCTGCAGTGAGCCAAGATTGCGCCACTGCACACCAGCTTGGGCAACAGAGTGAGACTCCATCTGAAAAAAAAAAAAAAAAAAAAGGAACAAAAAGTCAAATCCCACATGTTCTCATTTATAAGGGGGATCTAAATAATGCATACACATGGACACAGAGAGTGGAATAACAGACCAGACTTGGAAAGGTAGGAGGGTGGGAGGAGGGTGAAGGATAAGAAATTACCTAATGGGGCCGGGCAAGGTGGCTCAAGCCTGTAATCCCAGCACTTTGGGAGGCCGAGGCAGGTGGATCATGAGGTCAAGAGATCGAGACCATCCTGGTCAACATGGTGAAACCCCGTCTCTACTAAAAATACAAAAAATTAGCTGGGCATGGTGGCGCATGCCTGTAATCCCAGCTACTCAGGAGGATGAGGCAGGAGAATTGCCTGAACCCAGGAGGCGGAGGTTGCTGTGAGCTGAGATCGCACCATTGCACTCCAGCATGGGTAACGAGTGAAACTCCATCTCAAAAAAAAAAAAAAAAAAAAAAAAAGAAATTATCTAATGGGTACAATGTACACTATTTGGGTAATGGTCACGCTTAAAGCCCAGCTATTCAACATATCCATGTAACAAATATGAACTTGTACCTCCTAAATCTATGTTTTAAAAAAAACTGAGCTCTAGATGTGCTCAATTGCTATGAGGATATCATTGCTTCTATGCCCTCTCAGTTGTCAGAGCTAGGAGAGATATGTATACGTACGAATCCATGCATAAATCCAGAAATATTTACTTCTGTATCTATTTTATGATACCAGCTAAGGAGAATTATATATGAAGGTTGTTACTCTGTCTTTACAACCTAGTATATAATAGGTTTACATAAATATTTGCTGAATTGAATTAAATTAATTAGAAAATTAGAGGAATGAAGTGATGTTGAAATGTATTTGAGGATTGAAAGACAGCAAGACAAATGGATCTTTGACAGCTGGTGATACTGGAGGGGTCTGGTCTTGGATTCAGAAATCAAGGTTCAAAAACCAGGTCTTGCCACTGAGCCTCAGGACCTTGAATAAGTTGCTTAACCTCAATAGGCCCACGTTTCCAATCTATAAGAAGGAATAACTGGGCCAAGTGATCCTTAAGATTCCTTTCAGCTTGGGAACATGAATCTTATTACATTGCTCACTTGCTTAGAGCATCTTTTTTTTTTTTTTTTTTTTTTTGAAATGGAGTCTCACTGTTTCACCCAGGCTGGAGTGCAATAGCACGATCTTGGCTCACTCCAACCTCTGCCTCCTGGGTTCAAGTGATTCTCCTGCTTCAGCCTCCTGAGTAGTTGGGATTACAGGTACCTGCCACCACACCCAGCTAATTTTTGTATTTTGTTAGAGACAGGGTTTCTCCATGTTGACCAGAATAGTCTGGAGCTCCTGACCTCAAGTGATCCACCCACCTCGGTCTCCCAAAGTACTGAGATTACAGGCATGAGCCACTGCACCTGGTTAAAACATCTTTTTTTTTTTTTTTTGAGACAGAGTTTCGCTCTTGTTACCCAGGTTGGAGTGCAATGGCGCAATCTCGGCTCACCGCAACCTCCACCTCCTGGGTTCAGGCAATTCTCCTGCCTCAGCCTCCTGAGTAGCTGGGATTACAGGCACGTGCCACCATGCCCAGCTAATGTTTTGTATTTTTAGTAGAGACAGGGTTTCACTATGTTGACCAGGATGGTCTCGATCTCTTGACCCCGTGATCCACCTGCCTTCGCCTCCCAAAGTGCTGGGATTACAGGCGTGAGCCACCGCGCCCGGCCCTTAAAACATCTTTTAAAGGCAGGTAGTTTCTCTTTATTTTTCCCACCAAAGCCATAGTAATAAATATAATTTACAGTATACTTTGTGGCGTGTGTATGTAAACACATACGTATATACATATATGAACACATATACACGTGCATATATGTGCGTATGTGTATTAGGGATTGTTTTGAGATAATGTAACAGAAATGTAACTGTGCCTTAAATAAGGTAGAAATTAACTTCTCTTTCACATAACTTGACTTCTCTTTTACAGCCTAGGGCTGGGCTTTTCAGAGCTCAAACACCCTCAATACACAGCTTCCAACTCCAGGCCCACAGTGGCTGCTCCAGTTCCTACCAGCATGTCTGCATCCCAGCCAGTGGGAGGAGAAAAAGACAAAGAGACAAAGTAGTGCACACCCATTTGTTTTAGGAGTGTGACCTAGAAGTGACACATGCCACTTCTGCTCATATCCCATTGGTCAGAACTTAGTCACGTTTCTACACCTGACTGCAGAGGAAGCTGGAGAATGTAGTCTCTAACTGGGAAGCCAATGTGCCAACAAACACTCAGGGATTTGATTATTAAGATGAAGAACAGGAGAATGGATTGATGGAAAACTTGCAGCCTCTATAAAACTTGCAGATATATAAAATGGAAGCATTTTTACAGGATTGCCCTTACTCTCTCTCTCTCTCTCTCTCTCTCTCTCTCTCTCTCTCTCTCTCTCTCTGTGTGTGTGTGTGTGTGTGTGTGTGTGTGTGTATGTGATAACAGATCAATTTGGTTTTTTGTTTTGTTTTGTTTTGTTTTGAGGTAGAGTCTTGCTCTGTCACCAGGCTGGAGTGCAGTGGCATGATCTTGGCCCACTGTAACCTGTGCCTCCTGGGGTCAAGCAATTCTCCTGCCTCCGCCTCCTGAGTAGCTGGGATTACAGGCACGAGTCACCACGCCTGGCTAGTTTTTTGTATTTTTAGTAGAGACAGGGTTTCAGCGTGTTGGCCAGGATGGTCTCGATCTCCTGACCTCGTGTTCTGCCCGCCATGGCCTCCCAAAGTACTGAGATTATAGGCATGAGCCACCACGCCTGGCCAACAGGTCAGTTTTAATCCTAGCACCTGAAGCTATACAGGGTATGCTCTATAAACTTCATGGGACTGTTGTAGACACTTGATAAAGTGACAACTGTGCAATATCACTTAGCATCTAAAAATCAGGAACATACTATTGAATTGCTTAAACACAATCCACAGAATTAAAAACAAAATCAGATTTAATTCTCCATTAAAAACTTACACTTAAAACTTTACATAACAATCAATATCTAGCAGGGAATACTTAAAGCGATTTCAGAGTCTCATCCTGTTGTACTCTATTGGGAAGGTTTCTTGAGTAGACACGTGACCGGCCAAAAATGGGTACAGCAAAGACCAGACTAGCAAGTAAAAGTTCTACCACAGTTTCTGTAGTTTCTACTTGTTTTCCTTTGTCAGATAAAAGTCAACGGCTAGAATTAAATGTTTATCTTTGCAAATGCACAAGGTATGCTGTGAAAGCTTATCTGCTTACAGACATATAAAAATACTTGTTAACTAGTTTGATTTTAAAAAAAGTGTAAAAGTATATAGCAAAAACATTAATCATCTCTGACCCCAGAAAGCTCAATTCCATATTTATATTACATGAAACAAAAACAGTTTTGGTTTTTGAAAGCGATTTTAGAGTCTCATCCTATTGTACTCTATTGGGAAGGTTTCTTGAGTAGACACGTGACTGGCCAAAAATGGGTACAACCAAGGCCAGGCCAGCAAGTAAAAGTTCTACCACAGCTTCTGTAGTTTTCATTTGTCTTTCTTTGTCAGTTAAAGGTAAACAGTGAGAATTAAATGCTTATCTTTATATATACACAAGTTATGCTGTGAAAGCATATCTGCTTACAAACATATAAAAATACTCAACTAATTTGATTTAAAAAAGTATAAAAGTATATAGCAAAAACATTAATCATCTCTGACCCAGAAAGCTCAATTCCATATTTTATATTATATTAAACAAAAATAGTTTTAGTTTTTTGAATCCCTTATTCAGAAATACTTGAAAAGGAAGACAGAAATTATTCATTTTTACCCTTAGCATGGTTGTGAAAAAAAGAGTTTAAAAAAATCAAGGGCCAGAAGCAGCAGGCGAGTCGGGTGTCCTTGCACATGGATCTGAGCGACCATGGTGGCCCGGGTGTGGCCGCTGATGAGGTTCCTCATCAAGGGAAGTATGGCTGGAGGCACCATCTACCAAGAGCTGCTGGGGCCCAGTGACAGAGCCGGGCAGCCCTACAAAAGGCTGGGGAGGTGGTCCCTCCTGCCATGTACCAGTTCAGCCAGTACCTCGTCAGCAGACAGGCCTGCAGATACCCCAGCTCCCAGCCCCTCCAAAGATTCACTTTACCATCCATGACTCCTGGAATGCAGGCATCATCACGGTGATGTCAGCTCTGTCAGTGGCCCCTTCCATGGCCCACGAGTACTCCAAGGAGGGCTGGGAGTAGGTGAAGGCATGCACCATGTAGCAAGTCAGCAGGGGCTGCCTGCCCCGGCCAGAACCGCCAGATCTGCCACCAACCTGAAGACTCCAGACTGGGACCCCACTCGGAGGGCATCTCCCGGCCCTGCTGGCCCGATAAAGGACTTCCAAAGTGGAAAAAAAAAAAAAATCAAGTACACTGAAGTGTCGAAGCCCCGAATGAGTCCAAATATTTGACCATGTCGAATATTATCATCTTCAAGAGCAGGAGCAATAACACAGGCTTTTATGAGCAATTTTTAATCCATAAAGTCAACAGGCATTTTGGTATTTTTGGCCACCAGAAAACAAAAGCTGCAATATCAGTCAAGATCTGAGATGTTTCACTTTTGTAGATTCATTTCAGTGTATTTAAGGTTAACAAAGGCTGACACTGAAATTTTCAAAGATAGGCAAAAATTCACATTTAAAAAAAATCCCTATATTTCTATTTAGAGTAACAGTAGGCAGTATGATTCCAAAAGTTAAAAATTATTTCACAACCTGTGGCTTCAGCTTGGCAAACAGCTTAGATTCCAAAACTGATTCATCTCTATTAGCATGGAAGCACTTAAAAAAAGAGCGTGTCTGTGTATATAGACACATATTTTAGAGGAATCAGATAATCTTTGAAGCAGCCTTAGTGTTTCTTTTAAATTTGTCTGGAAGTGACCATTGTATTAGCTTCACAGAAAGGACTAGCCCGCTTCTTGGTCTAAGGCTAACATGGTGATCATTTGTCTAAGGCTAGAAAGGCACCAAACAAGATGTAAACTGAGGAGAGGAGGAGAAGATGAGGGCTTTTCCTGGCAGTTGGTAGCTAAGATGGAAAGGATTCTAGAAAACGACACAATGGCAGCCTTTCTTGCCTTTTTCTGATGAAGGAAGACATTCCTGCTCTTGAAATTTCCTGATAAGCCGAACAAGTTCATGGAAAGCTTGATCTACATTCGTCCCAATCTTTGCTGATGCCTCCATGTATGTTACCTTAAGTTGCCGCGCTAACTGCTGTCCTTCTTCCTGTGTTACCTGTCTTTGATGATCCAGATCTGCTTTATTGCCAACTAAAATCATTGGAAACTCATCACGACCCTTTACTCTGAGAATCTGTCTTTGAAACTTATAGATTTCTTCAAAACTGCCTCTATTTGTGACTGAAAAGACCAACAGGAAGCCCTCGCCAGTCCTCATACATTGTTCTCTCATGGCTCCAAACTCTTCTTGTCCTGCTGTATCCAAAATATCTAGCCGTGCTGCTCTGTCATCTATCACACACTGCTTTGTGTAAGAATCTTCAATGGTTGGATCATAATCCTTTACAAAATAGGACTGGTTGAACTGGATGATGAGCGCCGACTTGCCCACGCCGCCCCCGCCGACCACCACGAGCAGGTACTTCTCCTGGCCGGAGCCGTCCCGCCAGCCGGCCGCTGCCATGGGGACGCCGCAGAGCGCAGCCTGATCGCGCCGAGCCGCCGCTGCCTCCCGCCCTAGGCCCGGCTCCTGGGACGTGTGCGGCCGGCGGGCAGCGGGCGAGCGGCCGGGCGGGGGTCCCGGGTCCCGGGAGGTGTCGGGAGGGCAGGTCCGCGCAGCGGCGCGGCGCCAGGAGCTGGCTGGGTACCGTCCGAGGCGCGGAGAAGCGGGGTGACGGCACGGGCCAGGGGCGGCAGCGGCCGGGGGGCGCGCTCCTCTACGCGTCTCCGCAGCGCCTCAGCACTTACTCTTAATACCAGCTTTTTTTTTTTTTTTTTTTTTTGAGACAGAGTCTTGCTATGTCACCAGGGGGAGGGCGGTGGCGCAATCTCGGCTCACTGCAACCTCCACCTCCCGGGTTCAAGCAATTCTGCCTCAGTCTCCCGGGTGGCTGGGACTGCAAGCACTTGCCACCACGACCAGCTAATTTTTATATTTTTAGGAGAGACAGGTTTTCACCATGTTGGCCACGATGCTCTCGATCTCTTGACCTCGTGATCCGCCCACCTCAGCCTCCCAAAGTGCTGGGATTACAGGCCTGAGCCACAGGGCCCAGCCAGCATCTTTATTTTATTCCAGTCTAGTCTGTCCCATTGGATTCCTTTTTGACCTGCTGAACTGATTTCACAATATTCTAATGGATGAATTACAACCCTTACCGCTGTCCCAGAGAAAAGTGCAAACTTAGCACAGCAGGATTTGCTTGGGGGATGAGAAGTGGCGCGTGGTGGAGGGGAGTCCTCTTCAAGACATGGCAGCTGCTCCCTCTCCAGCCTCCCCTCCAGCTGCTATGCACTAGCACTGCTGCAACCCCACTGAGCTCCCGATCCCTGCAACACTCCATCTCATTCCACACCACCTTGTCTTCGCACTTGCTGTGCCCTCCGACTGGAATGCCTTCTGCCCAAGTTCTGACCCTTGGCCTTCCACCCCACAACCATTGGCCCTGCGAACGGTCTTCATTTCTTTTTCTTTTTCTTTTCTTCCTTTCTTTTTTCTTTCTTTTTTTTTTTTTTTTTAGACAGAGTCTCCTACTGTTGCCCTGGCTGAAGTGCAATGACACGATCTCCGCTCACTGCAACCTCTCTGCCTCCTGGTTCACTAGATTCTCCTGCCTCAGCTTCCCGAGTAGCAGAGACTACAGGCATGGACCACTACACCTGGCTAATCTTTTGTGTGTTTTTGGTAGAGACAGGGTTCACTATGTTGGCCAGACTGGTCTCCAACTCCTGACCTCATGATCCTCCCACCTCAGCCTCCCAAAGTACTGGGATTACAGGCGTTAGCCACTGTGCTCAGCGACCATCTTCATTTTTCAAAACCCAGCTTGTGTGTCACCTCTCCAAAGAAGGCTTTCTTACCAGTAAGTCACCTACAAAGAGTTAATCTACCCCTTTATACCCCCAAACCCCTTATTATTTGGTATCACAATTAATGTACTTAGCCGTCAGCTTCCCCTCCTACCCCATGAGCACCTCAAGGGCAGGAACACGGGGCCTCAGTTTCCTTAAATGTAAAATAGGAAAAACAATATGATTTTTTATTGTTTATACTCACTCAGTGTTGGTTCTGCTGGCTTATCTACATATTTCTCTCCACTAAACGGTAAGCACCTGGAGGGAAAATCTCGCTCAATGCTTTTGTCCAAGTCTTGCTTAGTCCAAGTAGCACTCCATAAATGTTGACTTTAGTTGGCAAGTCACCTGGAAATGCAGACCAGTATCACCTCCATACCTGGCTAGTCTATAGAATTGTAATAATAAACAGGTCATTGAACATCTAGCCAAGCGTAACCTACTCAGGAATAGATGGCCTGAGAAAATCAAGCCTGCCACATCTACTTAACCTATTTGAGGCCAGGCACAGTAACTCATGCCTGTGATCCCAGCACTTTGGGAGGCTAAGTGGGGAGGATCACTTAAGACCAGGAGTTCAAGGCCAGCCTGGGCAACAAAGCAAGACCTTATCTCTACAAAAAATAAAAACTAGCTAGGCATGGTGGCGTGCACCTGTAGTTCCAGCTCCTTGGGAGGCTGAGGCAGGATGATTGCTTGAGCCCAGAAGTGTGAGGCTGCAGTAACTGTGACACCACTGCACTCCAGCCTGGGTAACAGAGAAAGATCCTATCTCTAAAAAAATAAAAATTATTTGAGCAATTCAACAAACATGGCAAAGATAAACTTGTGGATTGATGTTTATGAAGACTGCCAGCCCAGTGTGGTAGCCCAGCCCAGTCCCTGGCTTTCTGACTGTTCTTTCAACACTCCAGACCTGCTCCCCCTGCTTGGAACTTTGCCCTTGCTTTCCTCTTTGCTCCGAGTGCCCTTCCCACAGGTCTTCTCTGTCCTGTTAAGCATCACCTCCCCAGAGAGACAACCTTTGTCCAAAGGTCTCCTGGCTGCCCGCCTCCGTTGAGTCATGAGCCTATTCCTGAACCAGTCAATCATGAGAGGGTAGAATTACTAGGACTGGCAAAGTCTTGTTATTTGGAACCAAACTCTCTATTATATTTCCCCATCTTATTATCTTCACAGCACCTATCACAGCTGAAATTATTACATAGATGTGCATATTTTGTTGCTTATCATTGGTTTTCCCTCCTCAGAATGTAAGTTTTGTGAGAGTAGGAATTTATCTGTTTTCTTCACCTTCGTCACTCCAATATCTAGAACAGGACCTGATATATTTAGTATGAACTCAATAAAGATTTGTTGAACGGATCACTGACGAATAAAGATAAGATAGCACTTTGGACTTCCTCTCTTACCTGATTTATCACATAGTACTTTAATGATTTCCTGACACGCTACCTTCTTGATTCAGGGCCAAGACTGCATTCTGCTTTTAATTTTTGCCTCACTTAGCACAATGCCTGGCATATAGTTAATAAGCATGTTTGGATGAATGAATAAATTTTGATGAATGAAAGAAGGTGTGAATGCATGTGTTTAGGAAACATAGGTGTGCTCCAGATGTCAGAAGGTGGAGAAGGTGGATGGTTCTCATACAAAAGTGATCAAATGCTAAATAAAATAGTCCCAATCAGGCCAAAAAATGCAAGGACTCCTCAGATCAAAGGGTAGGGTAGATGGGGTCAGGCTGAGGTCCAGGTAGCAGGGAGGAGGCTGGAGAGGAAGATGTGGGGGCCTGGGAAGTCCTTGAAAGGAGCTGCAAAATGTTTATTTGCTGAATTGAGAGGACTCCTAATTGCTTGGGCACTTTTTCTTTTTCTTTTTTTTTTTTTTTTTAAGAGACAGGGTCTCACTATATTGCCCTGTACTGACCAGCTCAGGCTGGTCTTGAGCTCCTGGGCTCAAGCGATCCTCCTGCCTTGGCCCCCCGCTAAAATGTTGGGATTACAGGCATGAGCCACTGTGCCCAGCCACTGGGACACTTTTACAACTACTTTCTCCCAATGACTCTGAAAGGAATCCTTTATTTTCCCTGAAACTCCATCTGAGAAGCAGGCTGACTTCAAGTCCATTCTCCATCACATCATTCAGAAAACATATCTTTTTTTTTTTTTTTTTTTTTTTTTTTTGAAACGGAGTTTCCCTCTTGTTACCCAGGCTGGAGTGCAATGGCGCGATCTCGGCTCACCGCAACCTCCGCCTCCTGGGTTCAGGCAATTCTCCTGCCTCAGCCTCCTGAGTGGCTGGGATTACAGGCACACGCCACCATGCCCAGCTAATTTTTTTTTAGTATTTTTAGTAGAGACGGGGTTTCACTATGTTGACCAGGACGGTCTCGATCTCTCAACCTCGTGATCCACCCGCCTCGGCCTCCCAAAGTGCTGGGATTACAGGCTTGAGCCACCGCGCCCGGCCTGAAAACATATCTTGTCAGTACCACACTGTCAGGGGAAGAGAAACCAAACATACATTTTAAATAAGATGCCCTTCATGGGATACATTTCTGAAGAGAAGAGTCAGCCTTGGTAGGAGGCAGAAGGAGATTTTAAAAACGTGTAAAGTCTGAAAAAAAAATTTGAGTTTTAAATATCTTTAAAAATACGTAAGTTATTTCTGATAATCACCAAGTAATTATTTCTTTTTAAGCCCTTCCAGTACAGAAGACATCAAGTAAATTTTTTTTTTTTTTTTTTTTTTTTTGAGAGGGTATCTCACTCTGTTGCCAGGCTGGAGTGCAGTGGTGCAATCTCAGCCCACTGCAACCTCTGACTTCTGGGTTCAGGTGACAGTCTTTTACATATACACAAACACACACACATACACAAACACAGGCATACAAACACACATATACAACATACACAAATATACATATTCACGAACACAAAACAGATACACACACAGAGACACATATACAACATACACAAATATACATATTCACGAACGCAGAACAGATACACAAACATACACACCGACACAACGTACACAAATACAAACACACACGAACGCAGATATACAAATATACACACAGACACAACAGACACAAATGCATACATTCACACACACCATCACAGATGCACAGGTGCACACAATCATACACCAAACACACATGCATAAAACCCTTGTTTCCTAGCAAACTAACACAGGAACAGAAAAAAAAAAAATACTGCACGTTCTCCCTTACAAGTGGGAGCTAAACACTGAGTACATATGGACACGAAGAAGGGCACAACAGACATTGGGGCCTGCTAGAGGGTGGAAGGTGGCAGAAAAGCGAGGATTACAAAACTATGGAATCTTGCCAGGCGCCGTGGCTCACAGCTGTAATCCCAGCACTTTGGGAGGCCAAGACAGGTGAATCACTTGAGGTCAGGAGTTTGAGACCCACCTGGCCAACAGTAGTGATGAAACCCCATCACTACTAAAAATACAAAAACTAGTGGGGTATGGTGGTGCATGCCTGTAATCCCAGCTACTTCGGAGACTGAGACAGGAGAACCACTTGAGCCCGGGGGCGGAGACTGCAGTGAACTGAGATCATGCCACTGCACTCCA